GGGCTGCTGTGCGCATGCGCGCTGGTGTCTGGCGGGCCGGCTGGGGCGAGCAGGGCCTGGCCGGGGCTGGCCTGGGGAGCGTCTCTTCTGCGGCTTTTCCCTGCGTTTGGTGGGCTCGGAGCTGTCCCGGGAGTGAGCTGGAGCTACTTAAGTGATTCCTAGAGCTGAATCTCACGAAAAAGCAGATGAAGGCAGGGAAGTTGCTTTCAGGGTATGCCTCAAGTGAAAGGATTCTGCTCCTCTCTGTACTCTTTATATGCAAAATATAACGGCATCTGGGATGGTAAAATCATACCTAATAAGTTTATGTGACATATAGGAACAGCTAGAATTATGCAATATCACTGTAAAGCATGGATGTAAGAATGCACATTAAAAGCATCTCCCTCAGGGTCCAGGTCAGTGTGGAAGCACATGCAAATACCAGTTACCAGGCTTTAGTGTTAGAGTGCTTCATGAGGAAAAACAAAAAGTATTTTTATGTAAACTTTAATCTGTGTTAAAAGCAGTAGAATGTGAGCAGTTGTAAGAAAGACTTGGAGCTGTGTCCTGTGGGCACAGAGCAGCTGCTTTGCAGTACGGAGCAGGAGCAACTTTATGTGGATGTGCCTGCTATGGCTGTGGTTACGCGAGCGTGCTGTCTGCAGCTCTGTAGAGGCTGGGCATCTGGAACTGAACAAGTCTGATTTCCCAACTCAGGGTCTTCTGCTTGTGTAAAAACTACTCAGGTCTGAAATATTTTTAGAAAAGGTACTGCTTTCAGTTAAATCCTGCCTCTAAAACGTAAAGTGTCTTTTCTGATACATGTCCAGGATTTTCTTTCTAATTCCTGAAAACTACTTGAAAGCCATGATATCCCCAAAAATAAATGATTACAAATTTTATGTAACATGATTTTCTGTGTGTAACTTCATGTGTCTTGAAATTAGGGCTTTAAAAGAAGCATCGGATATGAGTTTTATGATAATAATTTGGAGTTAGTAACAGTGCAACAGTTCCAGTTACTTTTCCCCTATAATGTTTTAATTAGTTCTGACCCGCAGTACAGAATTTAGTTAATGTACTTTTGCTATATTAATGTGACTGTCATAAATTCAGAACTCTGATTGGTTTATAGGTGCTCGTCTAGTAGTACAGCTATTGGGAAGACTGTGGAAAATTCAGAAGGTATGATGTCTTAATTACTAATTTCTTGCATATGTTATTTTAATCTCCAAACAACATAGCATGTCAGGAGATAAAGAAGACATGAATGCCCTCTTTCACCTTCTTGGATTTTCTTTCCCCCCGTGTTCATTGTGCAGAGATTTCCTGGCTTAACTTGATTGCCCTCACTACCAACCAGCTCTGTGCTCCGAGAGCATGAACTGAGTTGTCCAGTTCCATGAGCTGTCCAGTTGCTCTTTGAAAGGGAATAAATGATGAAATAAAAATAAGGAGTTTTCCACCTTAATCCTGACAGTTTCCTTCATGTTCTTGCTGCTTCTCTGTACTCCTTACTGTATTTCTGCTATGAGTTTTGTGAGAAAAGTAATCGATGCTTGGAGCCATGCTGCACATGGGAACAAGCTCCTGCCAGTCAGTAACATCAACACAGGGGCAGAGGGAAAGGTACCTCTGCAGACCCTGGCTTGGGGGGTTATAATCAGGAGGTCCCACATGCTCCTCTGTGAATGGATTTGCTGAGATGCTTTACTGTCAACCTCTGGCTGGTTCTTTTGGTATTGTCCTTTTTCTTTTTGCCTCTCTGGGAAACCTGGGCAGATTGATCTGTAGGGTGGAAGGAACTGTGCAGTTGATGCCAGGCTGTTGGGGCAGGAACTTGAGAGGGCACTTTGCTGCAGTGTTCAGGCAGGCTGAACTGGAGAAGCCAAATGGGCAGAGACGGCAAGCTTCAAACTGGGGGACTAAGAGTAGGAAAGCAAGGGACTGGGAAAGGTTGGGGCTCAACCTAGATGATCTAGGGTAAGGATGATTGAAGAAGCTTGAATGGGTAAATGGGTACAATCTCTTTGACGTTTGTTTATCATAGGGCCCTGATCCTGTCTTCACACAAGACGCTGAAACTCCCCACCAGCTTTTCTATTACCATTGCAATAAGTTGTGGCCTACATTAGACTGTGGTTTTAAAATGTTTGCTTTAGTAGTTTCAGCTGGATCAGCTTAATTCAATTTTCATGAGGTCAAGGTTTTCTTTGGACATCTGTTTGTTTCTAATAACAATTTTGGTATTGTTTCTCATAGTTACTCGAGAAGAAATTGTGCTCCCACGAAGGAAAACCTGGTGAGTGTTTACTGCTGGAATATCTCTTGAACTGGAAGAAAATCATTGTTAGACAGCTAAATATAGTCTGTCCACCAAAGCTGAAAAAGAAAATTCACGTTGCTGTATTCCTGGATTTAATGTCCCGCTTGTGGCTTTATTGCTTACTGGGAATATTCTTGACTCTTACTCTCGGTGCAAAGTATGTACACTCCGTTCCTGACCTCTCTTTTAAAAACAGTTATAAGGACTGCATTTTTAAGCATAATTCTTTTTCTTTGTAAAAGATCACATTCACTAGAAATCTGTAAAATCACGTTAATTTGGCTGTCTGCATGTAGGTGTGTTTCTTTCAGCAAAATAAACTTGGCCATTGATAGCTGGCTGAATAAATCCTGTTTAGAAATTATGCAGCTGAACAAAAGCTATTTTGTTGGAAGCACATAAGATGAAATTGCATGACTGTGCCGCAAAAGCGAAGTTTACAGCCAAATGGTGTCTGCATGTAAACCTAAAATAAGACCACCTTCTCCTAAACACTTTTGTTGGCCTTTCCTTGTTTGCTTGAAACACAACCAAAGTCTTGAGGGTCCATAGACACAGGAGTCCTGAGAAATCTAGTTTTGTTTTGGGTTTTTTTGGGCATTTTTTTCCTCCCAAGACTTGTTTTGGAGAGGGACTCGTGTATCCATCCCTCAGAGATGGGGTAGTCTTAAGGGGCTCGATAATGTATAATAAGGGCAGGAAACACACACATTTTTCTGGATTTCCTCAAAGTCTTTTCTTTTTCCTGTGGTTGTTCCAGAACTGAGACTGGTTTTGAAGTTGAATTTTCCCTCCCTTTGGGAAAAGTGGTATTTTCGAAGTGCAGCAAACCCATTATTTCCTAGAACTGAAAATCCTTACAGGCCAGGATAATCCTGTGCTTGTTCTGCATACAGTGTAATGCATAACATTCAAAGTCTGCAACCGAGTATTAATCAAAGCTCCTTTATGTTTAGGGATAAGCTAGCGGTTCTGAAAACATTGGCTTCTACCGTGAACAGGGTAAGTAGTTCTGTTGATCGTGGAACTATGTCTAACTCATGCATTAACCTTGCACTCTGGAGGCTCTTACTTCTACTTTGGCCATAAATGAAAGATGGGACTTCTACATCTGTTCTTGCAGGGTTTTCACTTTTGCTCAACACGTTTTGCTGTGTTCTTAAAGCCTCATTCTAGTGCTAAGAGAGAGCTGCAATGTACCAGCAAAAGCTGTAGTATTTTGATAAGGCTTTTGCTAACATCAGGAGCAAGTTCCTTTACCAGTTCAGTTTCCCAATCCAGACTGCCTCTTCCCACTCTCAGTCCAGAAAGTAAGCCTTGCAAAGAGCAATTGATGTCTACTCTGCTAGGCAACAACTGTAAATGCTGTGATGCCATTCTTTAATCCTGTCTGTCTTGAGTTCTGGAAGTTGAATCTGATCCTGCAAGTCCCCTCAGCTCCCCCAAGACTGTTATATATAGTTGGGGTCTTGCTTGCTTTGCAGGACACACGTTGTTTGTCATGTTACATTAAGGACCCTTTTGTTGTCACTGTGTTAGCCTGCATGTGTGTGTATAATGGAAAAGCTTTTTTAACTATTTCCAAATGGGCTAAACCTTTTGAACAAGAGGAACTTTTGTAGCCAGGCGGTGGTTATGATGGAACTGTTCACTGTGCCTTAAATTCCATGAGGCAGTGTGATGTACATGTACAGTATGCCTGTGTACATAACTATAAACGTTTCAATCCCGGGTTCTCCTTTCTACAGGATCCTACTGCTGCTCATTATATATTCCAGGATGACCCTTTCCTTATGCCAAGAAATGCAGCCAGTTCTGTAAGTATTTCCTTTCAAATCCTTGATAGCTTCCCCCCTTCATCTAGGTTATGAAAACTATCTAATTGGAGCCTAGTTTTAATTACAGAAGAAAATGGAAGTATCAGACTTCTTTCAGAATTTTCTCCTCTGTGTGTTTCTGTTTCTCTGTGGTCTTAGTCCATTAAATAACTCCCAACAATAATCTTTAGGTGAGGCATTCAATCTGTTAAAACTGTGTTTATATACCTTGGATGTACACTGAATATGTGGTACTATAAGTGTTGAGATTTTGTGCTTACAGTTTACTTAAATCTGAATTAAATGTATGAATTAAAACACACAAGGTCACTTGTGTGTGTGTTACTACCAGACTACATGTTATCAGTTAACTGTCCTGGCCAAGCCCCAGGAATTCTAGTTTTATCACAGAGCAGCTATTTAGTAACTTAGAGTAGTGTCCTGGTTTCGGACAAGTAGTATTAGAGATAATAGAAAGGAAGGAAAGGAGTCTTTCCCGATGTTACCTCTGCATAAGATTAAAGAGCATGAAGCTGAGGCAGGAGAAAGCAGAACTGGAAACGAGGGCAAGAAGAAGAAACTGCTGCGTGTGATGTTAACTAGAGCATAGCAAAAGAAGACTGGGAGCTGAGATGTCATGGCAGATCAGTGATGTGGTTACAAGAAAACCAGTTCTGCTGCTGCCAGAGTGAAGCCATGGAGAAGGCTGAAGGCAGCTGTCAGATGTGAAGAGTTTTAAAGGAAACAGCAAAGGAAGGTCTGACTTCAGAACTTGAGGAAAAGAGGTGAATGGGAATCAGGTGATACTCTTGGAAATGACAGTCAGGGAGGAAAAATGACAGTCAGGGAGGAAAACGTCTGAGTGCCGTAACTCTAAAGAGAGAGATACTTTTGAGCTTGAGATAGTAGTGCAGGATTTCAGATGTCTGGTACAGAACTTTGTCCTTTGACCGAGTAACAGAAAAGTAAATTACATTCTCATTTAAAGAATAGACATTCTTATATTGGCATAAATACCAGAACGTTTATCTGGAATGTTGTCATGTGCCTGTCTGCATTTCAAGTAAGAGCTGAAAAGGAAGTATGAGTTTAATTTGATTCCATCAGAATGCTCAGTGTTATGGAAAACGTTTTTCTCACTCTCAGCCTTTTAATTGCGTGTTTCTTCATCTTGTTCTCTCTCATTCCTATGCAGCGTCTGTTTTTATTGTCGAAGGAGTCTGGGAGAAATGCTGCAAAATATATTATAAAGCAATTTCCTCAATATTTTGACAAGACTTTTGCAGAGCCCAATGTACCAGTAAGCTTTCTGCTTTTCATTTTCATTGTATTTGTGCCGTGTCGGGTAGTGAAATCAACTGTCAGCCTGGTCCAAAACTAACATAAAAGGATAATTTTGTTAATTGTTTTGTAGACAGCTGTGAAGGCAGTGCTGTATTTCCATTATGTTTCTGAAGTGAACATTTTTCTTTAGGAATTCAATATCATACCAGGTTCTTTAGATAAAAGTAAGGGAAGAAATGTTGTTTAGATGTTGACTTCATAGCATGAAAGTGGGAGATGAGGCTGTGTGGTCCTTTATCAACCAGAAGGATTGCTGCTGTTAGGCTGGGAGGGTCGGGAGATTATCAAAGCAGTGTACTGGGTGAAGAGTAGCACATTTGGTTAGTGTTCTAGCAATGGTTTAGAGACAGTTTGAGCTCGTGTCTAACTTGCACTCCTTGCTTTTAGTGCTTGATGCCTGAGATTCTTACACCTCAGATTGAAGGAGTGAGTGAGGAAGCTCTAAAAGAGCGTATCCACCTCAGAAGGCTGAAGGATTCGGTGGACCTGTTCGATCAGCTTGTACAAGCAGGTATGTGGTCACCTGCCAGATTCTGTGGTGGAGCTCTACTTAAATTGTGCCAAAAATATTTTAGTACCTGGCACGGGCTATGGCGACAATTTCATGACTGTTGCTGCCTTTCACAGCTCACTCTGGTCTGGTGAAGTGGTTCTCCACGTTTACTGGGCCCTCCTTATCCACTGCTTGCCTGACATGTCACTTTGGTGATACGGAGAACAGATGGTTTCCTGATCAAGCAGCAGATGATACAATGCTGAGATTTTTTTCTTCTCTTCCAAAGTGGAACAATTTGTGATGCAGTAAAGCAGGGCCTCTACAGGCAGATGCTGTGTGATTGAGTGATGCCATTCTGCCTGCAAAGGCCCTCACACAGTAACGTATTGCTTGATACAAGCTATGTGCGTGCTGAGTGCTTTGCTGCTGTGTTGGACTGGTATCGCGTACCATCCCGAGTGCCCCTTCTGTGGACCTGCCCTCAATAAATGAGTCTTTCTTCTCAGTTCCTCCTTAATTTGGACTTTATTATCTCTCTCATGGGTGAATGAAGAGGAAGCAATAGAAAACTGTAACTGCCACAGCATCTGAAGGAGGAAAATGTTCTGAGAAGGTGAGACCTTCTCATAGCCGCTGCAAGATGGAAAGAAGATGATTCCATCAAATAGCTCTTTTCTTTTGTTGGTTTTAAATCTGTTTCATAGAAAGTGAAACACACAAAGTGATCTTCACAGCAGGGTTTATCCTAGGAGTAGTTATGAAAAGCACTAGAAAGTTTGGATGTTGTGTTGGGCTTGTGCTGCTTCGCAGTTTTGGCTGTCAGCTGCCACTTCCCTCTCCCACTTTGTCAGGAAAACTACCCTTTCAGTGGCTTCAGTAGAAAAACCAGATACTCTAATTCAGTGTTAAAATTGTGTCCTGCTGTGAATAGGTTTGTAGAAGTATTGGCATCACACCCAGGTTTTACAGACTTGCTAGAGAACACCTTTATGTCAAAAGACAACTGTGTGTAACTGTGTGTAACTGAGTGTTTGAAATTTTTCTGTTACAGCTGTAGAATGGTGTGTTCTTTACTTTCTCTGCAACTGTTGTATATCCTCATTTTCCATAGGTACCCCTGCATCTCTGGAGACCACAAACAGCCTTTTAGATTTGTTATGCTTTTATGGAGATGGAGAATCTACTCCGGAAAAAGAGGGAGAAGAAAAAGAGGATTTGGAAGAACCGGGGGTATGAAAAACCTGTTGGTCTCTATTTCTTTCTTTCTTTCATACATAGTGGTTGTGTATCACGGTGATGTCAAGATTTTTGTACTGTGACTACCTGCCTGGGAGGTGGTGTGAGGTGGGTCAGATGCAGTCAACATTCCCTGGAGATAACGGCAGTTACAACAGTCCTGTGTCTGACCTACTAGCAAAAGTAATTTCTGTAAAGCTGAACTTAGCAGCTGGAACCCTGTCTTAGTTCTGGTGAACTGCGTTTAAATAACTGTTTCTCACCAACAGCCTTGTTTTTATAGTTGCCTGGAAAGAAGAGCCTGGTACCTCTGGTGTAAAATCAGCTACTTAATTTTCTTCCAGTCTGAACCATAATAACTAGATTTCAATGTTGAGGGCTCCTTGTGTGACCTGAGTATCAGATTGCAGGGTACAGTAGGAGGTGTGTTGCACAATACCTGTCCCTGGGAAGACTGTTGAGGGAGAAGGGGTTTTACAGAGTGTGTGTTACGGTCTAATGATTCCCACCAACTCCACAAATACATATAATTTGCCTTGTTAATATGTTTCATAACATAAACAGTATTCTTAATCTAGTTATTGCTTCTTGAACATTATAATAGAAATTATTTTAATGTAACCCATTAAAAAACACTTTTGGTAGCATATAGATTGCTGCTGAACTTCTGTGTTGTTACCAAATCACATCGTTTGATGTTTAATCATAACTTTGAACTCTGAGAAACTTATTTCTGCAAAAATCTCTCCAGGTGAATGCTTCAGAGCAGAAGGCTCCAAAGAGACAGCTCCAACGAGGTTTGCAGTCATCTGGCTCTAGGTGGAGGTATAGAAAATGTTGCCAATATTCCTGTATTCAGTGGGTTGTGCACGTGCATTGTTGTTATAAAACAGACTTAAAGACTTTTTAGCAGCCCGTACTTGCAGGTGTTAAATATATCCATGTTTGCTAATCTTTTGAAGTGTTGATGGAAATCTAGTGATTGTAGAATAGCTCAAAGTGTCACAAGTAGTTAGTGATAGGACGAGAGGAAATGGGCTCAAGCTGCGCCAGGGGAGGTTTAGGTTGGAAATTAGGAAAAATTTCTTTACGGAAAGGGTGGTCAAGCATTGGAACAGGCTGCCCAGAGAGGTGGTGGAGTCCCCATCCCTGGAAGTGTTCAAAAAACGGGTAGACGTGGCACTTGGGGACATGGTTTAGTCTAGTCTACCCTTGATTGGCTTAGAGTAGACTTGGTAGTGTAGGTTAATGGTTGGACTGGATGATCTTAAAGGTCTTTTCCAACCTAAACGATTCTATGATTCTAAGTAGTGTATTTGAATGTCAGCCCTTGGGAGTACAGCCCATTTTTTTTGTTCTGCATTTTGAACCCTTTTCCTATGGGAATCTTTTATTGAGTTCTTCAACATTCAGCTTGTTCGTTGATTCTAGGGAGAACAACAATGCTGAAAGGATATTTAAGATAATGCCAGAGAGGAATGCACACTCCTATTGCACAATGATCCGTGGGATGGTGAAGGTAAAGTTATCCTTCAGTGCCCCTTTTTTCCGCTTGTGAAATCTCACACAGTCATAGAGATTGTTTATTTTTGTTTGTTTGTTTTTTGCAGCATGGGGCTTCTGCTAAAGCTTATGACATGTACATAGACTTGCTTAATGAAAGACACAAGGGTAAGCATCTCCTGGTTTTGACTTGTGGTCTTCTAAGTAGCAGCAACCAGTTGTTGGGTACATGAATATTTGTTTCATGGCAATGATGATTGGCGCAGGGGTACGGACCTCAGCTAGATCATGGGAGCTGAATGCAAACTGTTTATCTCGGTGCAGCTGGCATGTGGCCGGCCCACTGGAAACAGGTTTGCATGAGACTTCGCCAAAAACTGAGCCATGTTAGAACAACTTGTTTTCTGTAGAATGTAATTGTTAGTTAAAATGAATTATCTTACATTTTTCAGCTGATGTGCACACCTTCAACGCACTGATTACAGCAGTCCCATATCTAAAGGAGAGGTTCTCAGAAAGATGGGAATTAGCCAAGGTAAGGAGGTGGAGCGAAAGAGGTGGGGAAGGGGTAAGAGTGTAGGGGCTGGGTCTGCCTTGTCAGTAGAATTTTACAGTTAGAAGTCTAAAACCAAGAGCTTTGTACGAAGATACTAGTATCTGCTGCGAAGGAAGTACACTAGTTTAAACTTAGAAACTAACTGTTGAGGAGTGGAAAATGTACAAGATCCGACCTTGCCCTTGCAAATGGCTTGCCTTGTGAGAACATACCTGATCCAAGAACTGCCCAGACAGAAAGTAATTGGGAAATTATGCTGGGAGATAAAAACAAACAAACAATTGTAGATAAAAACTCTTCTCTGAATTGTGATTCATGGTGGTGTGATGGAAATAGAATTTTGAGGGGTAACATTAGAGGCTTCAGTTTTAATGATGTAACATCAGTAAGGAAAATTAGTAGTAAATTTAAAAATTTCCTTGATGATCTAGGCACAATTTTCCAAGATCTGATATAATTTTGTAGCCTTGTTTTTTGGTCACATTGATTACAAATTAGATGGTACTCCCTTAATAAATGATCAGTTGAGGTAGAGTCGTTCACTTGAAAGGGGTGGGAAAGATCAGACTGAGGAAATGCACGTATACCTACCTGAAAGCTGAACTGGGATCCATAATGTGTGAAGCACTAAAGATTTGGGGATTTTGTTTAAGGTCTTCCTGAATCACATGGCTCAACAGGAAGTGCAACCAAATCTGCTAACTTTTAATGCTTTACTGAAGACTCTGAGAAGATGCGGTGGTTTAGGCAGAAGTATGTCTTTATTGGTAATAAAGGAAATGGAAGCACTTGATATAGGTAAGAGAACCAGAACGGTTATTATATTCCAGTGCTGCCTCCAGAATAGCTAACTTAGAGATCAGCAGCAAACAACACAGTGATTCCTAGTTGCAGGGAAGAAGTCCAAGGCCTGTGGAAAAAAGCATTTCTCACTGTGTTCTCAACTTCACTATTTGTTTCCTTTTGCAAGAGAACTGAGAAATAAAAATGCTGTACTGAGCTGCGGCCACTCAGCAAGCCAATGCCTGGGGATTTCAAATTGAATCATCATCCTCAGAGTCTTTGTTCAGTGTTGATTACTAATTACAATATAGTGGGTGCACTTAGCCCCTTAGGTCAAATAATGAAGCATTTTGATGCTGTACTCTTTTAGGTTAGGAGCATGTTTATCATTATATTTTTACCTGTAGCTACCTCTGGCTACTCAAGGACAGGTGTGTGTATGCAGTGGGGGAGTGTGTCCTGGCTCATGGGTTCTTTCTCAGCTGGGTCCTTATTGTAGTACTGCTGTAGAAATAGTGAATAATATGAATATATATTTGCAGATGAGTCTGTTAGCTTCCCAAAAATCAAGGAGATTTACTTCACAAGCCACCCAAACCAGTTCAGGTCTATATGTCTACATCTCTACAGAAAAAAAGGTTTTGATCTAGATGATGTTTTTCGATGTCAAGTAAACGTTGCAAAACCAGGGAATGTTGGCATAGCTGATTCGATATCTTGTAGAGAGCGCTTTGCCCCAGTAACATGTGCGCTGATACACCAAAGATAGGTTCATGAGCAGAATGGAAATCTAGTTATGAAATATTTTTGCTTTTAATTTAGAGCAGAGAAGCCTGGCTGTTCACCCCATAGCAATACGGTGCTTCAGCTGGTGGTCCACCCTCAGATGTTGTCTCTCCCAGTTGTACGTGGGGCCTGGTCCAGCATTAGGGTGGACAGGGAGAGAAATGATAGAGTAAATTTATGCATGCTGCCTGACTGGAAGGGCTGGGGACTGTGAATTAGAGCTCAGGCATAAAGCTCAGCCAAGAATGTCGAAGTAACTTCCATGTTTTTGCTTTTCAGAGCCTAGCCTTGCAACGTATGATCATCTTATCTTTATATTTTATAGAGGCGGTACGTGCAATATCAACTTATCCATGGATGTGTCCTGTTTAACACCTGCTTTAAATGCTTTCCAGCTGTGATGGGTGAAGGCAGTTGTTCTATGGATTAAAAGACAACTTCCTATGTGTGCAGTCCTAATGTTACCTGTGCAGTCTGATTCTGCTTGGGTGAGGAAAAAGCTGCAGAGGATCATAACCTCTTACAGGGAGGGAAGAGTCCTTGTGTTTTGAGAACAGGCAGAACTGGAAAGAAAGCCCATTTCCTTTCCATTTATGGCCACGAGTTGATAAAGCTAAAGAGCAAATGCTACTCAGTCTCTGTGGAGGCTGGATCTGACTACAGCACATGTGGTTTCATAGACTGTGCCACTCACAGGGAAGAAATTGCACAGGGATTCTGTTTTTCTGCAACAGTTCTGTGCATCGGAGCTGTAAAATAGAGCTGTGTTAAAAGGCAGGAGCCCAACTGTTGGAGATCCTTTAGCCAAAAATCTGTGGGCGTGGGAAGAGAATAGACACAGTAGTCATAACTGCAGTCCTTGTGTTATAACAAATGTGGAGGAACTGCTCTGGAGTCTCTCTGGGTTATTTTTTGTTTATAAAATGCATTGCTTTTCCCGGTGCCACATTCTAACAGACAAACTTGCAGGCCTGTTGGATTCCTTGCTAGGAAGTACTTGTACCTTTCTTAATCTGCCCTGTTGTGCTGTGGAAATCTGGCAATAGTAGGGCAAATTTTAGCGCAAATAAAACTGCAGCTGGTGTGGAGCACCACGAGTAGGGGTGTGGACAGTAGAATCGTGACACTTGTTTGAAATCATGGTGCTTGTTTCCATTTCCATAGTATATTTGCAGGCTGAGGCTTTTTACTAATGGAAGTGCATAGTACAACTGAGATGTGATGTTGCTTGTCTGTCTGATCCGTAGTTGATCTTTGCTCATCGGGCATCATCTCTGAGGTGCTAGATGATGTTGAAAAGAGGAGCTTCACTCCCCAGGACCCTGATGATGGTATGGACTTCAATGTATCTGACAATCTGCATTGTTTAAGCTTGGGTGAAAAGCTAGGGAACTTCAAGTAGTTCTACCCAGCTAGAAAGAATGCATGCAGCTTGCCTGTATCAGTCCCTTCTGATACTTCTTGGAGACAAAGAAGGACAAATTCCAGTGCTGGGAAGGTGTGCTGTGCATTGGTGCACTGGCTTCTGTGTGGTAGTAGTAGTATTCCCCACGTGAATGAGCGTTTGACTCCCATGCCATAAAAAACACAAAGCTGTTTACAAGACTAGTTTAAGGAGGAGCATCTGCTAGCAGCTTCATGAAATGATACACGTCTGGTGAACAGCAGGTTTTTGCTGTAGTATGGTTTGAGTTCCTGTTCTAGTTCTTCCTAATCCTTTTCAGAAGACTGGATGAAATAAAACTTCATGCAAAACTGAAGCTTGGGTGTGTAGAAGGGGTCGATTCTAAACATCCCATGTCTCACTGGCTCTTTCTGCCATCTGTATGTACGCAGCTTTGCCCTAGTATGTTCATAAGCCTTTCTGTACGTTTGGAAGTAGATGCAGCTTTGTTCTGAAGACGAGCGTGGCAAAGAGGGGTCTGTAGCTGTGCTGTGTACAGCGTGGCGTTAACAAAGTGTTGGAAGCCATGCTTCAGCAGCTGACAGTTCTGTGACAGGGTGAAGAAGCTATTGCAGTGCATGCTTCAGGAAACCTGCGAGGAGTTGATACATTTTTTGGCCATTTAAAGGACAAAGATTAGGAGATGTTATGTTGGAGTAGCATATTAGGTTATCCTACCAGCATTTTATTTTTTTTGTCCTTGGAAAGAAGCCTGGAAATAGAATGTTGTACACCTCTTGTTCGCTTCTGTCCCATTATGTGTGTTATACTGTCTCTTGCTCTGGCTGTGAGCTGTTGCCAGAAGTGCAGGCAATGACTACACCTGCTCTGCTCCTTCACACTCTTTATAGAAATACCAGTGTTAGCAAAGGCAGGGTTTGTGGGCACACAGGTACAGGCCTTGCCTGAATCATGGGAGTTGAATGAGCTTCTCTACACAGCGTTTGAGAGAGAGAGGGAGAGATTGCTCACATAAGACTAGATCAAAGCCGCTTTGTCTAAGCAGGGGGTGTGTGTAAACATTTTCTGCTCTTCTTCAACATGGGATCCCTCTTATGCTCTTTTGGTAATTGCTATTGCAGAATTCAGGTTGATGCTTTGAACAAAACTGAGGCTTGTTTTTCCTTAATGTGGTGTTGTACGTGAACTGACTCCTACCTTCAGAAGCCTCTGTGTTCCCTGCAAGGCCTTTCTGTGGCCCAGAGGATTCTGTAGGCTGTAGCTGAAGTGTATACTAAACACCCAAATAACACAAAAATGTCTTTTCTGACTTAAAAGTATTTAGTTAATTATTAAGTCTTGCAAGGGAAAGGGCGGTGTATTGTACCTAATGGTTTTAAGTAAATTGACGGTTCTTCCCACCATTTTGCTACCCACAGCTAGCCATTGTTGCAGTCTCTGATAGCATCCAGTGCCCTTATGTTTCCTTCAGAAAACCAAAAACACCTATCCAAAATTCTCACCACAAAAATGAAATGAGCTACTGAGCAGGGTAGTTTCTGTCCTTCCTCCTGCTGTAGCTTTCTTTGCCTCCCTCAGCATCAGTCTGTGTGCTGCTTTGAAATGTCAGTTGCAGAAACCAGAGTCAAAGCCTCACTAAACTGGAAGGAGACATTTTCAGGGGGCAGTTGTATGTTCTTGGGTAGCTCTGGGGTGTACTAAGGAGGTGGGTAACCTGCCTGAATGCCTGTCTCTCTTGCATGTGTTCTCTTCCACTGGAGTAAATAGAGAAGATGAGTGACCTGGCTGCCTTTTTTTGTAGCCTGCCTGTTAGACAAATAATGCTATCTTGCAACAAAGAGGAGGATGTACTTTTGTAAAACTGTCTAAAGTCAAACAGATCTTCTGCTGAAATCTGTCTCCAAAAGCACAGCAGTGTAGTTGCCTCCAGAACACTGGCTAGCAAAACCCGTAACATGCCAAACTCTCTACATATAAAATGGAAATCCCTGCTACATTGTCAAACTGAGCTACAAATCCAGCTTTCTAATTGAACATGACTCATCTGTCCTCTGGGAGGCTGGGTTAATGAGCTGCTGTATGTCATCTTGAAAGTTTGAAGCTAACAGACTCCATTTTCTCCCTTTCAGCCAACTTCTTTGCCACCGCTATGCAAGCGGTAAGTACTTCTTCCCTGTAGTTGGAATTCCTTTGAGCCCTCCAGCTCTTTCAGAATTTCCTGTTGAGTTTTCCAACCTGTCATACGAGGTTTAGCTCTCAATATCTTTCCTTTTCACCTGTGTTCATCACCTTCTGTAAACTTCTCCATAATTCTACAGTTCTTTGCTTGATACCTCCTAAATTTGTAACTTGCATGCCTGTGATACGTGCATCTCTTGCTAGAGATGGCTGTGTAAGCCCCTGTCTTCTGTGCCCTACCTCCTCCTAGTGACACTGCAGCCCTCAGACAGTCTCTGCACCAGAAGGTGTCAGTTTAGGTTAGAAAGCTCTGGCCCATTGGGAGAGTCGCACATTTGTCTCAACTAAACAAAATGCCTTGGCAGACACTGCATCCTGTTAAAAATGTTTGCTGTCAGCTCATTACTCTTCATACCTTTGTGAAAGTGAGTCTCAGAGGGATATATTAAGTGTTACGTTTGGTAGCTTTAAAATCTAACTGGTTTATTGCAGTGCTGTGATCTTAAGGATATCAAGCTTGCCTATCGGTTAAATAAGGCAATGGAGAAGGGAGACAACTGGAAGTTCTTGGACATGGATCGGTTAAATGCCTACTGGTGAGTGAAGTGCAGTTACATTCAGCGTCTTGTGTATTGTTGTCAACTTGAATACAAACTAAGATTCGAACATTGCACAGAAGGATGCTTTGTTGAACATCATCTGGCTATTGTATGGTGCAATTTGGGAAATAGGTCCCTCTTAAGAACAGTGATAGCTTAGGATTTATTTTTCATTTGTGGCCTTGCCTGAACCAAAATAAAGTGTCTTGGAGCATCAGTTTAGCTTAATCTCCATCAAACAACTGTACCAGCCGGTTGTATTTTCTGCAATCCCATCGTCCACTTAGGATGGCAGCTTAGGTGGTAACACCGAAATAGCATACAGGTCAGACCTAGCTCTCTGCTTGGTGTTGTAGAGAGAGGCTGCAGTGCAGCAGGTGTATTTAGGCACCCAACTCTTGTGTAGTTCCACCATTTGACACTGTCATCGTGGCATCTGAAACATCTTTACCAGTGTCATCAAGTGCTGCAGTCACTGAACGCAATTAAGTACTTCGAGCATACTGATTTGAAAAAAAGTCTATTTAGGCATTGGAACTAGAGATGCTCCAGTAAATTAATGAAAAATAACTATCAAAATAAGATGCAGTTTCAGGGGTGGGATGATTTATGTGATTTTACCTTATTTAGCCTGTAAATAAATCAAGGAAAATTAATGGAAATTAATTTCTTGGTGTAGAGACATCTTTCCTGTTTAGTGCATTGGATCAAGGTCCCAGGCTTGTATTGTGAACTTGCACAAGTAACCAGGTTAACTTAGTTCACTTCTTAAAGTGGTTCTTAACCAGAGGTTGCATTTGAGAGAGATTCAGATACCTCAAACCTGGTGTCCGGCAGGGAGATTGCATTTTCTTGAGATTTTAAAACACAGTGGTCCACTTCTTACTAATTCTGCCAATTGCATAGGGTCAGCATTAAGTTCTCTCATAAAAAACCACTACTGCTTTTTTAATTATCTGGGGTATTGCAGTCATACAGGGAAATTTTCCTGATTTGCAATATAAATCTGATCAGAACACCATCATTCTAATCATGACTGAACTAGAATATTTTTCCCCTCCTGTAGGTCAAAATTCTTTTCATTGTTGTGTATGATGGAACAAATTGATGTTGTGTTGAAATGGTACAAAGAAATGTCCCCTTCGGTAAGTGTGTATTAGGGTAAGCAAGCTTCAAAGCTTCAGTATGGATAAGCGGAACAGTTAGAGTTTACTGAAATGATTCTCTTCCTTCATCAGCTCTTCTATCCAACTCCTAAAAATATATTGGACCTCCTTCAAGCACTGGATGCAGCCAACCACTTGGAAGTGATCCCTTCAGTCTGGGAAGGTTAGTGATAGCTGCAGGGCTACATAGGCAGTTTGTTTGATGAAAGTCAGGAGCAACGCGAAGTGGGAGGTAATTGGGAAACTTCCCAGTGCTCAGAATAGCTGTGATAAGGAACTTTGGGATGAGGGACATTATTCCTTAGTGCAGTGCTGGGGCTGTTGTATTAGAGAAAGGCAGAAGTGATAGCACTGAGATCACAGTTCAGTGTCAGTGTCATGGAAAGCTGAATGCTTACCAGAGAGTAGCCCATGTTTAACTCTTTCAAAATTATTTGCCTGGTTTTGCCCCTTAAGAAGAGGAGACAAGAATGCAGGTACAGGCCTTAGCACACAGAAAATACTCTGCGGTCAGCCAACACTGAGGGGACGGACAGGTTCTTCTAGGGATCCTTGGCAGAGTGATGACAGTACTAAGTTGTAGTTACAATTAAAGCTCTATTTTCTTAACAGGATTTTATGATTAGCATAGCATAGAATTTATAATCAGAATAGCACAGAATTTCTATAAGCAGAATCCGTGTAGTACAATTTTATAAGTAGCATAGTACAGAATTTTTATAGCACTGCTTAACTTACGGTTTCTAATGACCTGGACCCTCTGCAGGTCGGGTCACATCTTAATACTTGGTTTGCTGAATCAACATAAAAATCATAATCTAGCCTCAAAAAACATGTAAAAGAATATGAGTCACCACTCAGTCCTTGGAGGAAGCAGACAATGGTGAAGGTGTCCCTGGCCACTGGGGGGTCATGGGTCTTGCTGTCCAGCAGCAGTTCAGGTCCAGGTTCCCACTTAGGACTTGTAACTGCTTGGTTTTCTAGACAGTGCTCTGTGTGCTGTTACCTTCTCTGTTCTGTGATGGGGTCATCACCACCACCGGGTTGGCCGGGTGCCTGGGACCTTGAAGGCCATTAACGAGGGGAGTAGTTGGCCTGGTACCCAAGGATCTTGAGGCCGGCAATGGAGGAAAGAAGGAACTCTGGTTCACGTACTTGATGCACAGGACCTTCAGGGCCTGGTAATGAGCAGAAAGGGAACTAATACATGACCTGCTCTGTCACAGAAAATGGCTGTTTGCCTTATAAAATGGCATTAGTTATGCTGACTGTATTACCAGGAGTTGGGACGAGGGGGTACGGGTCATGCCTACTAACTACTGCCTTTCTCTAAACAGATATGAAACAGTTGGGGTTTAATAGGAGACAAGACCTGTTGGAAGAGCTCCTGTCTTTGATGAGCAGGGAGCAGCACCCTGAAGAGGTAAGGAAGCTGTCATGGTTTAACCCCAGTAAGCCCCTAAGCACCACCCACCTGCTCACTCACTCTTCCCCTGGTGGGATGGGGGAGAGAATCGGAAGGGTAGAAGTGCAAAAACTCGGGGCCTGAGATAAAGACAGTTTAGTAGGTAAAGCAAAAGCCATGCATGCAAGCAAAGCAAAACAAAGGAATTCATTCACTACTTCCCATGGGCAGGCAGGTGTTCGGCCATCTCCAGGAAAACAGGGCTCCATCACATGTAACGGTTACTTGGGAAGACAAACGCCATCACTCCGAACATCCCCCCCCCTTCCTTCTTCCTTCCCCAGCTTTACATGCTGAGCATGACATCATACGGTGTGGAATATCCCTTGGGTCAGTTGGGGTCAGCTGTCCCAGCCATGTCCCCTCCCAGCTTCTTGTGCCCCACCAGTCTGCTCGCTGGTGGGGTGGGTGAGAGGCAGAAAAGGCCTTGACTCTGTGTCAGCACTGCTCCGCAGGCACTAAAACATCCCTGTGCTATCAACACTGTTTCCAGCACAAATCCAAAATACTGCCCCATACTAGCTACTGTGGAGAAATTTAACTGTTTCGTAGGCAAAACCAGTACCCAAGCTCAGTGAAAGGAGTAGAGATGTCTCCCCATTTCTGTGCGCAGCATACAGACTGTATTTAAGTGCTGTATTATTGTCCTTGGTCAGTCTTAGAGGTCCAGTTCCAGTGCATACACCATTACAAATTTCCAGATCTATGCAAGCTTATCCAGACCTGCTAAACCCTTCAGATTGTCTTCAACCTATAGAGAAACCTCAAAAAATTAACACAGAAGAGGGGTCACTTCCTTACCAGGCTTTGGAAGAGTAATCCAGCCCAGCCAGCCACATCTTTGGGGAAGTACATGGTGGAATTCAGGGATTTTTGCCAAAGATGTCATTGCAGTAACTGGCCTCTCGAGCTGAGGAGGGTTAAAGGTGTGTGCGTACTGCAGAGGTCTCTGTACAGCTGTCCCTGCAAAGCCATCTTGGAACTTGCCTAGCGGGGACAAGTGTCCTGACAGAAGTGAGAGATTTTTCTGCCAGGAGTAACAGCTGTTAATTCACAAATTTAAATCAGATACAGGGCAGACCTGTAGGAATGGTAGGAGGAATTGTACTGGAAAGGATATGTTAATTCTAGAGGGTTTGGGATTAATAGCACAATCTTTTCACAGATTCAGCTGGCGTTTGCCAAGTGTGCTGAAGACATCAAAGCTGTCCATGAGCAAACTGGGAGGGAGCAGGCCCCGTTGGAATGGACAGGCAGTGCGCTGGGCCATGTTGCTCTGTTGTTTTCCAGGGTTGGGAGAACCCAGGATGCTTGGTACGTGTGTGGCTGTCACGAGCTCTTGGCATGCTGACACTGTAACTCAAGGCTTAATCACAAAAATCAAAAGCTAACAACTGATTGCCTTGGAATGCTAGTACAAAGGGAGGGGATAAATTCTGCTGGGAATGTGCTGGGGGTTTTTTCTTAATTTTATTCATTCTTGGCACCAAGTTACAGTTGTCTATCTTAAATGTGGTTTAGAAGTTAATGTAGCAACTGGCTTAGAGCATCGTATAGCTGCTTACAGCAAGGCAGGGTTTGATTGTCACTTCACCAAGTATTGCTGATTTCCTACAGCTTCCCAGATTCCAATTTTTAGAACTCTTTGGAATTCAAACATTATCTAGCCTCCAGTTTAAGGGTCTGAGCTGTTTTCTGTTAAATACAGATGTTCTCTTCGCACTGATTCATTTGAAACAAAGAAGTGGCAAGTACCCTTCTAAAAATACATAATATTTTAAAGTAAACTTGCCACCAGCTACAGTTTTTATTTTTTCTGCACTAGTTAAGATATCCTGTGTTAAACTAATCAGTGATGTTAGCTGATACACATTGCATCTGCAAGAATATGGCATGGGATCTGTTTCAGATCTCTGGGGAAGATTTTTTCATGAAATTGAGCTTGCCTGTGTTTCAGCAGGGGCTTATCCAAGATATTTAATATCTGTCTGTTCCTGTGTTTTGTGGTGGGTTTTTTTTCTAATTACTATTTTGTTTTCTTTTGAACAGGAACATGATGGAGCGTTTCCAGCAAATCAATAGGATTCCCACGTGAGTACTTTTAGGTTCTGACTTCAGGTACTAAGTCTCCCCTTTGGCTGAGATTTTGCATTTCTATTATAACTGACAGTAGTGGTCCAGATCTTACTGTTGCTTCTGAAGCATGAGTGTGTGTGTGTGTCTGTCCCTGTGAGCATGGGTGTTTGTTTATCCAGCTGTTACATTCCAAGACCAAGACTATGTCTCAAAAAACGTTGCAAACGCAAAGGAGGGGTTTAAGTGGTTGATCCTCGAGATGTCATTGAATAAAGCTCTGGGACCTGGAGAACAGTGCCACTGATTAACTTGCCGTTAGAAATCAGTCTAAGCAGGACTCTGGAGAACACCTCATTTTCTGTGTGCTCAAAAAAAATTCTAATATGCTATTAACCAAGCATAGGTGCTTCAGACATGTCTGGATTTCTGAAGACAAGTTTATCAAGTCAAATCCTAAATCTTACATGGTACCCTGTTAAGCTACAACAGTTAGCTTTTCTCAGGATTTTGGAGGGGAAAAAATTCATTTTTGAAGTAGAAAACAATTTCTAAGGAATAGTAATGCAATTTTAAAAAACAAAAAAATAAACCCCAAACAACTGCTTGTGCTCACAGAAAGGAACACCTTAGATCTGATGTTGGCGATGGGAATTTCACCGAGGTGCACGATGTTCTCTGTGGCTGCCTGCGCCAGTGAGGGTGTGCGGTGCTGTAGGCAGCTGCTGGTGGACTCTGTGCTCTCCCTGTTCTGCAGACTGCCCTAGCATGGCCCAAGGAAGCCTTGACACTGCCAAGCCACGTCAGAGCCCCTGTCTCAATTTGGGGAATAGGGAAAGGAGAAGAATTCTCCTCTTGAAATTGTGGTATAGCTGATGGTTTGTGGATGCCATGGGTCATGAGTGTGAAGGGAAAGAAAGTAATTTCCCTGCTGTTACCTAGTGGTTCTTCTGGTTGAACTGTCCCCTTGCTTCCCTTCTCTGCCAAGCTCCTGCGGCACCAGCTGCAAACACTTACTTGTTTCCCTGCCTAAAGGCAAGAGAGGTGTCTCCAGCAGGTGACGAAGGAGCAGAGCCAGCTGTCAGCAGCTCCTCATGCCCACAGACAGCATGGCAGCCTCTGGCAGTCAGATGCCTGCCCTTCATTTATGAAGTGCTGTTATACTGTTCCTTTACCTCTGCCAGCCACGTAAAAGAGGGTGAGGGCCCGATGTGGGGATTGTAAAGAGGGCATGGTTATTTAGGCTGCCGCTAAGGTGGGTCCTTATCCGAGCAGTGAGCTGCTGCCCTCTGTTTTTGTGCAAGGAGGAGTACTGCTTTCTGCTGGGATAGGAGTTCCCAAGCGCACCACATAGGTATGGGGTGAAGGCTGAGGTGGGATTTCTGGCAGGAGCAGAACTGGGCTGGTTGAGTGATCTGAAAATCTGTCACCTCCTCTCCCTCTCTAAAGCACCTGCTGTAGGTTAACGGCCACCTCACCTGGGGCCCCGTGAACAGTCACTCTTTGCCTTTGCTTTTGCAGTGACCAGGTGATGGATGAGTTCTTGAACTGTGCTAAACAAACCAATTGCCCGGATGAGGCGATTAAGCTGGTAAAGCTGGCAGCATCCTTCGGTCTTCCTTCATCTCAGAGGCTTAAAAGCAGAACGGAGAAGGAATTTGAACTCTCTGAAAAGCAGAAGTAAGTCGGAGTACTTCACATGACTGCTGAAGGCATATAGTAGGCAGGGTGTTGGAGGGGTAATTCCTGCAGAAAGGCTTCTCCACCGAGGTGGCAGAGAACTGGCTTCAGAATGATGGGCCTTGGTGTTGGCTCTGGTCGATTCACACCCCCAAAATGGCCCTGCAGTTTTTGATCCCATGCTGTATCCATCCCACCTAGGAGGGAAGGTAACTTTCCATGATGGGGTTAGCCTTATCCACCGCTCAGATCTGCTACCACCTTTCTTTCCCAGAATCTTTTCCTAGCTGGGTCTGGCCACCTAAAGACACTGACTGCAGGCTAGTCAAAGCAGGGAAGCGGTACAGGATGGCCATGCACGTGGTTCACAGGTTCTGAGGCTCATAATCTTCAGTACATCTCACTAGCCACCATGGTTTGTTGCTGAGCTGATGCAGTCAAGCTCAGATGATGGGCTTAGCCTGGAGGAGCATGGTTTGGAGCCAGTGGTCTGGTCCAAGGGAATGAATGAAGAGAAGTCCAGCAGCCTTGACAGCTGGCCCACCACTTTCTGGGTAACTGAAGTAGTCTGCTTTTCCAATAGGAGGTGGGGGTGCTTCCACCAGCTGCTGGGTGCACCTGTCCTTTGAGGATAATAGGCATCAGACAGTCCATAATGTTCTTTTTGGAGGAGGTGTACTGTGTGTTTTGGATATTTCTTTTCAAGCAAAAGTTACAATAGGTGACTGATTACTGGACTGTTTTCCATCTGCAGGAAGACATTGGAGAATATCAAGTCAGACAGCGACAGCAGTGATAGTGACAGTGACAGCGATAGTGACCGTGACTAGCTGGCCCTCTTGCCTTCCTCTCGGGAAAACTGGGAGCAGCGGGTGCCTTGACAGCAGGAAGCTTCTGTGAGAAGTGAAATTACTGAAGGGACGGCTGCTGGGAGGTGCTGCAGCACTGCGAAGCACTCCAGAGCATTCCGATACGGGACCTGCTTGGCAAGAGTACATTTTCCTCATTGGAGCAAGCCAGAAGCCGTCCTGTTTAATGTTCTTGGTAACTTCAAACACGGCGTGGGCTACACCAATGCAGTCTCTTCCACGCCACTGCCTGCACGAGCTCGCTCCTGCCAGGCAGCTGTGGCCGGCTTAAACAGCTTGGCCGAGGTACCGGAGGGCTGCAGCAAGAGGAGTGCTGCTTCCTGGGGGCTGCTCAGCAGGTACAAGACTTTGACAGCTCAAGCAAGACTTCTCTTGGACCTTCTGCAACACAAACCTGCGCCGGATTTAATTCCTTTCCAGCTAACTTTAATGAACTACTTAAATATGAAGCTTACTCTGTATGTAAACACTGTAAGTAATGCAATACTCATCACCTGTTGTGTTATTCCTCATTCTTTTCGGTGGTTTGGGACAGGCTTTGGACTGTAGGTGTTAAAAAGCTACCATTGGTACACCTGGAGACAGCATCTAATAAACAGCTGACATGAAACACGGCTGCATTCTGATAATCCCTGCGCAAAAACTGTTGATTACAAAGTGTCGCTGTTGCTCTGTGAGTGAGCGAGTAAAGTTCACACAGAATACAGCAATAAAGCTAATGAGGTGGCTGCCTGGGAAGAGAGATGACGCGCTGTTCCGTTCTCTGCCTTACAGTTAACGAGCCCTCACAGCATTGTGCTGCTGTTCTTGGCTTGTAGAGGAAGCCTGAAGGTTTTTTTGAGGTAGTTATCTTGAACAGGCAAAGAAGGTCTTGTTCCTGCGAGGATTAAACCCTGTTCTAGTAAAATTAGTTAACAGATGATTCTCTTTGTGCAGAATAAAACCATGATGTGCGTGATGCTTCAGGGCAAGTAGGAGCACGCTGCTGTGGAAAGCAGCTTAAGGAAAATTCAGTAATGAGTTTGGCAAACAACAGCTGCTACAGGTAGAACAAACTACAGCTGAAAGGCTAAAAGTCAAGCGTTCCTCATGTGACAGGAGTGGATGGGCAGCAAAGCTGTTTGAAGGCAGCATTTGCTCCAGAAAGCAAATGTGCCTGTTCAGGAGTGCATGACTGGTACAGGGGTAGATCAAAAGCTTTTGGGGGTGGTGATACACTCTTTGCTTTACTGTACCAACAATTTAAAACTGGCTCAGCAAGTAGACCAAGCTGCAGCTACTCCTTTCGGTAAGTGGGTACTAAGTAAGTTTGATCAATCTGTCTCACTGATGGTAGGAATTAAGGAAAAGGTAAGAGAAGGAGGAAGCTTGGTCTTTATGCAAGTTCTCATGGTTGAACCAAAATCTGGCCTCTAGCTGGAAATACTTCGTCTTCTAAAACTACAGAAGAGCAGGACCAACAAGAGGAAACATGGAAGGGTAGAAGTCCACCAGAATATGTGCTCTGACACCTGCTTAAGTTATGTCTACTTAAACCTGTACTCATACATAATTTTTTTTTTAACAGCTGTACAAATTAATGAATAGATATATTGATCGCATCAATGATTTCTCACTCCTTGAAAGGAATAAAACAGAGATAAGTTTTAACTTCTTCAGGTCACAGCGAAAGGCTGCTCTTGTACTGCTCAGTTGTATTCGGTGTTTAAATAGGAGACAGAACAGCAAGAGAAAGTGGTTGAATTCTTGTTTTATTCAGCTGACAAAGTGGCAAATCATTAATGGTAGGTTACAAACATTATTTTGGTTGGATCACAAGCCTGCTTGGTAAGATGGGGAAACAAAACTCTTACACAAATTGTAGAGAAGCTTCCTGAAGTTGGTTGTCAGGATAACTCAAAAACAATACAAATACATCAGGTGGTAAAGTTAAATACAGTGCAAGGAAACGAGACGGTACCCGTGCTTTGATTTAATGCTTCCAGCCCCTGCCAGCAGCTTGGTTTGCAACCCTTAGGAGATCATGGGATTTCTTTCCGGCACAAACGATTGCTGAACTGCCTCCGAAACTACAATCCTAGCTCACTGCACTTGAGTTGTTCCTAACCCCACAGCACTGGCATATGCTGTCAAGATATCCACAATTTGTTTTGTTTCTAGGGTCATTCGAGCTTCGGTCAGCCAGTCGTGTGCCACTCTCCTAGACTCTCCTCTTAACTGGTTGACAAATTTAGCTGCCAGCTCCAGATCTCCGTGTTCGATGCAATACGAAGCGTAAGACAGTAACTTAAACGTGTCGAGGTCATCGGGGCTGAGCTCAGCAGGCGGCTTCAGCTGTTGAGGATGAAACACAAGCAGCGACTGCAGGTAAGACAGGAAGTATTGATACAAGCTGTTTCTCGTTTCGTCGATCATAGCCACTCTTTTTGCCAGTTTTTGGACTGTGTAGAAACGTGCTCTGAGGGCCTCTTCGCTGTACACTCCCCGCGTCAGGGACTCCTGCGGGAGAGCTGCTGTTAAGGCTTCTGTAAAGGCGTTGTCAGAGCAACTGGCTTTGATGGCCTTCACCGCGCTCTCCAGGGGTTCTGTGGGGCTGTCCCCAGAGCCTGTTTTCATGCAGTATTTGAGTGCCTCGACAGAAAGCCACAGCTGATGGGCCTTTCTGGCTTCCTCTTCTGCTACTGCGTGACCTGCAAAATAAGCCAAGACAGGGGACCCTCAGTTGGGGACACGCGTACGGGAAGAGTTTCGAACACAAGCAGCAAAAGCCATTCCTCTGAACACCCTGCTTTCGAAAGCAGCTGCGCCCTGGGCGTCTGACCTCAGAGCGAGTCTGTTCCACCATTTAGGGTCAGAACAAGACGACAGCTTTGGACTCGTGCAGCTGGGATTTGCTGGGTGCTCAGCACCGTGGCAAACCCCGGCCCATGAGCTGCCTGCCTAAGCCTGGGTTTAGGCACCCATGTTGGGTAAGAGGCCTTTGGGGATCACGACTTTAGTCCTTAAAGAAATGCCATTTCAATGCTCACTCTCAACTGCTTGCTCAATTCCTTTCAGCCTGGCGTAGGCAGTGTTTATATCCAGCGTGAAGTTGTCGAGCTGTTCCTGAGTAAGGCGTCTGAATTGCATTTCTTGTTCGCTGAGTTTCTCCGACAAGTTCTGAAACAGAGCGAGATACACATATCAGACCAGAAACAGCTGTTTAATTCTATTTACCTTATTTTTAAGAGAGGTTGCTATAGATCTGTTATTCTTGCTAGGGACAATGCATATAGTAAATGCAATATACCAGTAAGAAGCCTTATTAGGGTGAATTTAAGAGTTATGCACTTGTAACTGTCAAAAATCTCTCACCTATAGCAAAAGCTTTTAAGGCAAGTCTGAATAAAACCTATGCATTCAGGCACTTGGTATCATCTCTTCAAGATGAGCAGACTTGCCTCCCAGCCCGCATTTCATTCTCCTGGAAGATGGTTCAGGGCTCTCGTCCTGTGAAGGGCGTGCTTTGCAAGGGTTCAACTATCCCCCTAATTCCCTTGGGAACTCTTCTCCCTTACCTGCTCAAATTCCAGCTTTAGTTCCTGTTCCTGGATCTTAAGAACATCTCTCAGATGGTCTGTGTGGGCAGCAGCCTGCCGCCGGAGCTGGGTCCTCATTTCGCTCTCCATCACCTCTCGGACTTCTTCAACCTGTAAGCACACGAGCGGTTGTTATTACACTGCTATTTTTCAGCTGCTTGTCACAAGCTATATGATTATATCGTCCATCAGGGATTACCTTGGGTACATTTTATAGAAGTGGCATTGACAGAGCCCAAGTTTCATCTTAAAAAGCTGCCCAGGTCCAGTTTTATAGCTAAGCCTTTTCCAAGAGACATTAAAGAATAGCTTCACAGTCCACAACGCCTGTAACTGGGGGTTATACTCACTAGGCAATTGATGCGGTTATCAAAATGTTATATAAAAAAAAATACAGTAACATGTCAAACTAAACACTCTGGTGTTTATAAACCAGCTTCCAAATAAAACACATTTTACCTTTTCCCTACATGCTGTAATACTGTCAGAGTTGGACACAGTTTAATAAAATGGTAATGATGTCCCTTTTACCTAATCGTGTATAAACCAGCCACTTTAGAGAGGGCAGGTTAGCACAAGGGTGCATGGTGCAGGTTTGTTTAGGAGTAGTTGAACAGTTTTTTTGGTTTTGTTGGGCTTTTTTTAAAAAACAAAGGATTGCATCATTTCCAACCTTCCATTAACTGCAAAGCTGACAATTCAAGCTACTTTAAAGAGCTCTAAATTAATACTTGTCACTGCAGGGCTTTGAACTAAGAGGCTATAGGTGAAATCCTAAGTATTCCTCAAGTCACTGCAAATTTTCCAACTAATGGCCAGTGTTTAATCTCATTTTCAGAGGCATGCATATGAAAACAGCAGGAGCATTTGGCAGAAGCATCTGCCTGCAATGTGGCATCTCAAATGATATAACCTCCAGTGCCCAAATTCCTAAGTTTGCAAGTTGCACTGGCTTCGTGTGCAAAGCAGTATTAAAATTCTGAGGCATTTTCTTAGTCTTTTTGAAAGAAATCAAATCCCAAACCACTGGCAAAGAGTGGAAGGACACGGAGACACCTCTGGAGGCAGGATGGACATAGCCCTGCGATGGCCATACTGGGTCAGATCAAACATTTATTTTGACCCAGCAATCCTATCTGCAACAGACAGGAACGTGAAGAAGTCACTCCTGTTTCGCTCTACGATTTTACCATTCTGCCTCTGCAGCAGTTCCCTTGCTCAACGTCTCCTTTCCACACTTATCCTGGGGGTCGCCCTATCTGAAGTCTCCCACCCCTCAGAACATCCCAGCTGCTCTTCTGTGCGCTTCTTCCCCCTCTTTGACATCCTTTTTGAGGCAGAGATCCAAGTGCAGGTGCGTAACACCCCTTTACCTTCTTCTCC